CTACCCTTTTTAGAGTACCTTGGCCACGAACAATTTATTTTCCTCTCACTGTGCTAATACTCGAAGTCTCGAGTGAATAGCTTTTGGTTTTAGTTAGACAGATGTTTGTCTAATAACACAAGAGTCATAAGCTATATAGGCAGTGGAATGTGTTCTCTAATCATTACAAAGTTGTGTTTTTTTCCACGGCAAATGTAATCTCGTGGCTATATAAAGATGGGGAAACGCTAATAAAAATATACGTCTTATCGTCTATCATGAAACGCACAAATAACTTTTGTTTGCTCATTGTTTGTTTTATATATATCGAAATCGGTTGCCAATTGGTACAATTGCGCTCCATAAAACATACATTTACCAACTGTTTCTTCACAATATTATCTACGTGGTTACAATTCTCTGATAATTACACGTGAATGTGTGCACGAAGTCTGGGCTGTGGACAGTAAATATAACCAATGGCATTGCCATGTATTGTTTGGTTTCATTTTGTACGCTAAAATGATGGTAATAAAAAACATCTCTCAATTTCTTTTATGTATGCATAAAACCATAGACTACAGAATGTTTCCTAGTCTATGATAAAATAGTAGAATTTATTTAGTTATTGAGTTTTAAAGAACTTCAAATATGAAATTTTGTATGCAAAACTGCCTTGCCCTACTGATGATGATTCGCGCGTATAGAACCGTTTGAAGTACGCATATATTATTGCCATCACGCGTATTCGAGAAGGCTAGGCTGATTGAACGAGATGAAAAGGAATAAATTACAATAACCCAAGGTTCATGCAAATTTACTATAATTACGTCAGTGATACGAACTAAGCAAAGATAAATGCACAAACAAGCGGGGATGATATTAACATTTTAAGCACGGGTAAGTTGATTATTACGAATCAGAAATGTGTGCATAAAACCCTAAAATATCAACACCGATTGTTCACTATTATGGCGCGAGCAACTCACTGAATCTTGTACGTGCTACTATGTTTCGAACGTCGATAACATGGCAACACGCATGAGGCAAGCAATTGTAAGTTAACAACAACAACTTGGAAATCGCCAGAAATTTTCAGAACACTTTTCGGTTCCTCGACGACAAATTTCAAAATAAAAGTACGATGTAGACAACGAAATGACTGGGACATGTCTAACATTCTTTTTTTACTTTGAAACATTGCAAATATGATAGATATATTTATATACTCGTCACCGCTCGTGCTTGGCACAAAAGCACTCATTAATACTCATTTGTGCTTCGATGAATAATTAGTGGTCCGCTAAATGATTAATTGTCGTAATCGTAGAGACACTGAATTTCAGTTTTCTCATTTTGGTGATAATTACAAGTACATGTGCAAACCAGTTTCCCGAAATTATTCTGAGTGTTTCGATTAAACAGTCGGGAATTCAAGCCACAACCTTCCCGACGCGAGGCGAATATGCCAACCTCTGTGTCATCGAACCATATTAAGTATGCTTATTTTTTGTCAACAGAGAATTTACAGATATGTCTGTTTATATTTTGTTCATGAGATTTTACAACTGTAAATCGAAATATAGCTAAATTCAGTGGTTCATGGAACGTGTTTGACGAATGACGTAATTTTAATACGACCTATTTGAAAATCTTAACAAAATATATGCGTATTCGGGAACCTCGCGTTTAGATAAAAAAAAGAAAATCGATTGAATTCATATTTGTTTCGTTGTTTAAACCACACATCACATGAAATGAATTGTTGTTGTTTTTTCGCTTTTTGAATGTCACAAAAGTTTCACATAATAAATAATTTCGTTTGTTCTGCTGAATCAAACAAAATATCATTATTTCACGGTTATACCACTGTTGTTTCTAAGTATGTGTTAAACAGGGGTCACAAAATAAAAAATGATTTACGATACAGTAACAGCACGGGTATTGATTGTTTGGTTAATAATTGGAAAAAGGAATGCGAAACGCACGTATTTATTATACTATATTAACATAAAGGTCAACTTCCACGACGACATATAGGTGTTTGTTCATAAAGTGACTGTTAAAAATAATAAATGGTCTACTCAATATGTGAAATTAACACTTACACAAATTGTATATATGTTTAACTAGCTGAAAACAACCTCACAACTAAGTAACTCATGATTGGACATGTTCTACGCAGTCAAGTAATTGCGGTAATTGGCAAAATTTAATTAATATCCATATTTTAAAGATGGATTAGTAAAATTAGCTTCCGGGTTTAAAATAATTACAAACGAAGTACGGATAAAATTAGATGCGGATAATCATTATAGCGTTCAAGGACACACAGTACGTGTCTGTGTCACAGTGTGTAAGACGTTACACTAACTATATGCACTTGGCGTCATTCAATTACATCCCAAGACACTGTTATTCATCGTTAATACCATGTGGCGTTACGTCTTGTTCGATCGTGATACAAATTTAGCTAATTACTCAAAGCAGGACGATGACAACACACGTTAAAAACGCAAAGGCTCATGGGTAGACGCTTGTTTGTAAACAATGACACGATATGGCCATCTGACGCATGCGCAGGTACGACCCTCCCGCTTTGAGGATTAAAACTGCTTATGGACTCAGAAAATGTTAGCATACACCTCGATGTGTAGCGGAAGGAAATATATCAAATGTATTGACCGCAACATACACGCTACCACTGTTGTGAGAATTGGAAATGAATGCATTGGAGTTGAATTGCTATTGGCTTGAATATGTATTTGTTATTGAAAAGACAGTCATAATAGTATTTTGAACAATACATTCCTCATTACGTTAAAAGCATGTAGTGGTTTATTTGTATATACTCGTATTTACCGTCTCAATCATAGGGGAAATTATGTTATTATGTCGGAGACGCACACACAGTACAGAGTTCACGAAATGTCATTGTCGGTTATTTGTTTTTTTCCTTGAAATTCTAAAAATGTTATATCAGGGATTGAACTTCGCGATACTGTAGCAGTATATCGATGTTGGAATCAGTATGGTAGTTGCACTCATGTTCGACCTTTGACCGTGCATTCACCGCACATCATTTCCAATCATCGATCACCGACGATAAACCCATCATTTAAAAACGGTGTACACATGTATATATAGCCGGTAGCCAGCTGCAAACTTACAGAAAGGTCGGTGAGTACAATAAAAGAATTTCATCGGTTTTTCTCGTAAATGAAACGATTTTGACATATGATCCCGCACTAAACAAAATTACATTCCCTCAAGAAATGTATCTCGTTAAGTAAAGGAGGGAAATGGACACACTCGTTTTTGGTTTCAGTAATGGGCTAATCATCGTGATAACAGAAAAAAAGACAATGAAAACGTATCAGGGCTAATGACGACTTCGCTCGCAAAAATTATATCATGAATCTGCCTTATTTGCTTTCTGAGAAATAATTGCAATTAAATCCTCGCGGCCGTTCATATTAAAGTTGGTTTACTGGTGCCTGTATAAATGACATTATTTGTCGCTCAATGCCTGGGGAAATTATATGGTTTATTCCATTCTTCACGAAGCTTTGGTGATATCATATATTTTTGTCGTCCAGTCAAAAAAAAAAGCTTATATTTCGAATATTGTCTAGAGACTTGCGATCGTATATGCTGTCAAAGCCTGGTCTTACGTGGGACGTTTTACTCCCAACAGGATTCTGTTTAAAAATAGTAAGTTTAATAAATGTCTTGAACAATCGGTCTCAGAGTGATTCACCACAGCAGTATTTAATGTCAAGAAACACCCCAATTTAGTTGTATTCGTAGTTTTGAATCAACTAATATTGTTTCGACGTGGCAAAGAGGAGTTTTAAATATTTTGTCTATTGGCTTCTAAACTTGCACACGTTAACAGCCGTGCCTAAAACACGGTAGTGCACGGTGGCGTTTGTGAACGCTAACAACGGTTGTCGCTGACGAGCATCTCTGCAAAAATTCTGAGACTCCAGTGTACAAATATCTGTTATGACAACACATGGTTTATATATTCTTACATGGCGTGATTCATACATGTACATGTTTGTACACTGTCCTTGGGGATGATGGACAAGGCGTAAAACGATGAAATCGTTTGAGTTAGTTTGACTCGATTAATATCTCAATTGTATCATACTAGCTGGTTGCCACACGGGATGCTACGTAGCCAATGGCTCAACAGTATGGCGGCATATTCACTTTGAGCGGCAAAGTCAGTAGTGTTTATCTCAGTCCACGGTTTTATCACAAACATCTGAACGTAGTGAATGGAAAAATCAATTTTTAACTCGGCTATTTTAATCTGTAGCACATGTTTTCGTTTAAACGTTTATTCTCGACTGATGCTTTAGCTAGACTAGATAAGACGTTACTACACTGTACCCAATTTCTTCTCTGAGCGCATTTTGTTATAATTATTTTCTTGATTTTAATCAAACACTGTAACACACGTTTAATTAAAATAGGATTTCCATCGCTGTAATGGAAATATTAGTTGCGTCTGAGCGAAACTCTTCTGGACTGGATATAATTCAGAAGCTCGGGCAGAAAAAGGTGATCCCTTTTCAACGAGACAGAAAATTAACTTTACTCACGTATTGCACAGCAACCTAAAATGACTACTAACACCAATGGCAGCTTGGACGACGCCATTTTCAAACTTCCTGAGACACCTGTCAGTGTTGTAGAACGTACTGTCCCGTACTGACCCCGACCACATCAGGTGGAACCGATCCTACGTTCCCACGATGCATTGCAATGGTTAACACACTTCCGACTAATCCCCTTGTTGGCGTCAGCAATTCGTGCGCATCTATCAGTTTGACCTCCGATGTGACGATGTTGTCAATGTCCCTCGTCGTGCTGTTGCTTGCTAAGTAACAGTTACTGATCAAATCGTGATGCCCGCTGAGATTTCAGACAACCTAAAAGATTAAGCGATAATACACACTTATTAAACTGTGTGCGCCATTCCACAAACTAGACTATCGCTGTTGGGCGTCGTCCATCTAAGTAATGGCGGATTTATTTTGCCGCGGAAAGATGTATCAAGTATTATAGCAATCAATCTGCAAGTTAGGCAACGTCTAATTATAGACAACGAATGCGTCGGTCAATGACATTTAGACCCGATTAAAATATTACGTAGATTCGTCTGTAACCACCACTACCGGTAGCACCATGACGTCAGTTGCACCTTTGTTCATAATATCATCATTTCGTTGTTAATGCGATGTGAAGAACCGACTCCGATATCATTACCTAGTTAAGTTGATTAGCAAGCAGCATTAGATTCGTAAACAAGCACACCATCTGCATTATTGAGTCAGATGGTGACCCTGTCCGACAATTTGTTGCAAATTTGTTTAACCCCTTTGAGGTTGTGTTTGTTAAACGAATTGTAAACAAAACAAAAAGCGTTGGCTACGACTCTGTCTATGATGACTTAAGTGTGAACTTTGATCCTCGGATAAACGTAGAACATTGAACAGTGGGAAATACTTAATAATTCACTTATAATGTGGCGATTTTTTGTTAGTTTCAAATACAAATGTTGTCGTACTCTTACCTAATTAATAATAAAACCATAACATTTTGCAGCCCTGTGATTGGTTGCACAAGATTAGTTTGACCGTCTTCACAAGCAGCGTCTATTCGAAAATATACGTGTGTATGTGTGGCGCGGGGGTGAAATATTTCGACTGAAAGAACGCAATGAGCTTGCTTGAAATTTAATATAATACAGACATTCTTTTCTTCCTGTCTTAACCTCCGACCTCTGTTAGAAATTGGTCATTTTTATTTTCATCTAGTCGCTGGGGGCGCGTGTGTTCGTGTTGCAACGATCATTAAATATGCATTTTGAAACCCTCTATGCAACATTCTGAACGTTTAAAGATTTAACTAACATTTTTAAAATAGTAGAGAGTTTACACTCAAACTATTATTGAAGATAGAAGGGTAGGATACTACTACACAATTTGAAGAATAAACATACAATTAAATTAACGGATTATTCTGTAATAAAAATGACCCCATTTCTTCCATAACAATTCTCAAAGTTTTGGTCCTTACTGGTCACAGCGTTTCCCGGAATCTTACTAATATCGCTTGGGTCGCAATAGCCGTAGGTATCGCCGAGGTAAATAATCTCTACACACTGCTTATTATCACTGATTCTTCGTTGCTGGAGTGATTCATATCCCAAAATTCGGTTTCCCTGGGCGCCTCTAAAAAAATAATCTATCCTATTTTTGGCCCCGACCTTTGAATATAGCACATGTTCTGTGCCAATAAATGAGTTTGATATGCATATCAACTTCTTACTGGAACGTCTCCTGTACTTTCCAAAATTTGACAATGGCACTAGCCAAAAATGAACTTCCTGTTCAACGCGTCTTTGATTGTAGCAATACTGACCACTAGACTGTACGTAAAAACACACTCTCGAACTTGACAACATTCACTATCAGACCACTAAGCAAATAGATGCAACTACCAGTTACATCAGGCATGGAGATTGATTCATCACTCATTGAGATTCGATTGCTGATCGGGGTAGCTGTATTTAGTGTTCATGTCTATGCAATATAAAATTATATCACATCTCACTGCTGTTACGCATGCTGTGATTGGTTGAGACTCGGTCACATGACATTGAATGACAATAAATTTTAGTATTACATGGTATATTGCCCACCAAGTGGATATTACATGGGTATATCACATGGATGACGTCACTGAAACGATATTGCGATATATTGTCTGCACTGGTGCTGCCTCTGCCACTGTTGTTTTTGGGGTTGCTTTGGAGGTTTTGAAGGAACTTTAGCCATCCGAAATACTAGTAGACAACGAACGTGCCAGAATGGATATTAAGTACTCTGCTTTGATGTTTAGTGTATTTTTTATATGAAGCAAAAATGTACGGCAAAGCCGCCACTGAAACGTCGCAGCCGGGGTCGCTGCAGCGCGTTCTACGCTGTGAGCATTTCTACGCGTTCCACGCCGATGCTAACCGAAAACACTCTAAAGCTGTGTTGGCTTGTGAAATAGGTGTGGTACGTTCGTGAGAAAGTGATTTCAGTCACTTCCACGGCGCTCTGACATTTTTATCTGGAGATCAAATAACTTGCGTTTGAGAATTTCTCAATTCATTTCAAAAATATTATTCTCGATAAATTGAGTGATCCACACTGCTGAAACACGGTAACTAAATCTTTTTATCCGTGGCTGAAAATAATATTTACTGAGTTTATTTCGCAGTTATTTCAGCATGTATGTATGTTATTGCGAAATGTGAAACTTATAATAGATAAAATAAAATAGTGCATACTTCAAATACAAGTGTTTTATTTTGTGGGAGAGCGGGTGTGGGTGATGTATGGTAGATGTTATTGTGAATGGTAGAGGTCTGTTCGATGTGATGAAATAAATAACACATTCGGGCAATATCACGATTTTACCCTCACAAGCATGTGTTATTGTTTAAGTATCGCTGATGTGAACGGCGGAGGCTGACAGATTGTTTTGGTTCTGCGGCTCTTCTGGCATAAGCAACTCATTTTCAGGTTTGTTTTACTATTCTGACGTGTTTTTGTTCGCATTTTTACTTAAGTACTAGTAAACGGTCCAGGACATAATCATTATGGGACCCTGAATCATAGTTAGGCCCTAATGATTGCAATTACAACCTTATGCTTACAAATAATCAGATATTTATGCTAAAGTGTACAGTACTGGAAACTGCCAAGTACACAAAGCAGTCAAATCAGTAAGAAAACGATACTATGAACTCTATGGTATACATACACATTTAACTACAAAATAATTGTCAGTAAATATAATATTTTTAAATCGTTGTTAACTTTTAATCTTATTTGTTGGGATTTCTGCATGTAGTTACACAGATAGGAAAAATGCATCATTATGGCAAGGAAAAATATATATTTATTTTGTACACGATCTATAATGAATTCTCTTATTAATATTTCATTTTTGGTAGTGTACCTGTAAGTATTGAAATATGTACACATTATATCTTATTGGTGGTGGGAATTGCCAAGCCATTGTGAACAAATATTTTCGTAAATAACACTGACCGCAATATACGCCCTCAAGAAGTGTCACTGATGAAATATTTTATAATTGCAATTTCATTCAATTGTAAATAAATATATATATATTCATTTTTTTTATTGCTAATGATGTGTTATACATTTGTTTTGTACTATAATATTCAAGTATATTTATGCAACACTAATAATGAAAAGAATGCATGATGCAACGCCCACTCTATAAATGGGGAAATATTTCTTGATCTAAGAAATTAGCGGCATTATCAGAGCACGGATCTTATTTGGGAAATTCCTCCCAGAGCACAACTGCACAAATCATAAGGACAAATTAACAGCTCCTTGAGGAGTATTCGATCTTAGAATAGCACCAGTTGTTAATGACATATAAAACTTCAATTCTCAACAACAGTGAAAGGACCAGTTGATGCGACAAAGCCCTACTCCCCACTATAGCTACTCGCAACGAAAGCCACACATCGCGAAGGTACTATTGTGATTGTAAACATATTTTTAACACATGTTCACACATAATATTTAACAACTTCTATTGTCATCAGCAAACGCAAAGTAAAAACAATTTTGTACAATTATTGCTCACTTCTATCAAATGTTCAGATTAGATGATAAGTGTATTTAGTATATCATGTAAAAAAATAAAATGTCCAATTGCCTCTAAGCCTGACTTAATGAGAAAAAGTTAAATGTGAAGCGATCATGCTATTAAAGGGCTATATACGACGGATACAGTACTAAACATCGTTAACGACTGAAACCACTGTTATGGGGATATCAATGCGACATTTGCGGAAGTACACTTTAGTGATATCGATGTTAATCAAGAGCAAAATATAAAACAAAATGTTGTCTTGGAGTATTTTAAGGATGTAATCTACACACACGGGTAAGCATGTGCATGATCGCATTGGGTGTCGTCCCCAGTATTAAAACATTACAAGGCATTCCATACCTATCATATTTTCCGTAAACACCTATTGGGCCGGCAGGTCATCCCGCCGTTAAATAAGGTTTGCGTTGTCTGTCATGTGTCATATATATGTATACGTATATATTGACTTTGAAAGGCTTTTTAGAACAACTATTATTCACCCACGAACTTCTTTAGTATGAATGATAGGCTCTGGAGTACAGATATGACTTTCTTTCAGAAAGTCCCAGAAACCAATGTGACAGCACATGCATTAACCACATGGCCCGAGACAATAACAGACAGATTGTTTTAACCATTGTAACTCAAAATTCGTGGCAAACTGTCACAGAGCAGGTTTGCAAGTGCATAATTTGATCTCTGACATGCGCGGATATGATTTTTAATCAGACTAGGCATAATTGTGTTGCCAATATTTTAACGGCTTGCTAGAAAAGGTTAACTCTAGTTTTAAGAGGGACGAACTTGATTATTTTAACCTTAGAAATAATAACTTATTATTACCGACAGTGGCACAGACTTAACCGGCTGTAATGTATAAGCAACAACAACAAATATTTAGTCCCAAATGCCTTTCAAATCTGTCAAGGGATTGTTTTCCCGCCGCATTCAGGCATGTCTGATAGTTCTCAAGGTAAGGTTAATGAATTTTCAACGCCACTGAATTGGATGGCTCAGCGGTACATGTGTTCAATGAACAACACTTGTTTAGAGCTGTCCTGATTGATCTTTGTCAAATGTATGTTTATGATCAGCGAAGCGAACATGATTACAAACGGGCAGTGTAATTTACTATATATGAAGACTGTGACCCATATTAAAAA